ATAATATTCAGCTTTTATTTCTTTTTGATGAAAATATATCAAATCGTGCTACTTTTGGTGTCTTATTCTTTTGAATGTAAGTTCAGTTCTTCAGTTGCATTTTTCATAACCCAGGATAGGAAACATTTAATGGTGCACAAATTTAGATGTTGGATTCATACAATTTAAGTTCATCAAAACAACATTGCAAAAACAATTCACAATGAGAAGAAAACTGGGAAAAGGTTTTGTATTGAAATTAGAGAGTTAAAAACATTTTCTAGTAGTTCATGTTACTAGCTGAAACAAAGGGGCAGTGACCACATAAATTAAAACAACAAAATTTTAACTTTGAATATGATTTGTATTACTTGTTTCAGGTAATCGAGGCTCAAGTTCCTCTGGCAGAGCTTTTGGGTTATGCAACAGACTTGCGTAAATTGACATCTGGCAATGGATCATTTACTATGGAATTGGATTCTTATCAGGCCATGTCATCAGTTGAAGAAGCTAAAGCCATGAAAAAAGTTACCGGTTTTGATCTTTGATTTAAAGGTTTGATGGGAGTTTTGCAACTACCCATTCTAGATTGATTCTGCAGTAGTTAAGATGTGAAAAGTCGTGTTAATAACTCTGTAAATTCTACGAATTTCATTTGTAAGAGTTTTTATGGAATTTGATACCAAAGTTGATTATAAAACGTTATAGGATATTTTGTAGTTAAACAAGCAGTTCAAAGTCAATAAATTGTTTTTATTTTATAATTCTTTAAATATAACCTGTACATTTGGGAAAATTCAAAAATTTCAGTATTGCACATTTAACAGCACTTGAACATATTTACCATTTACACATATAAAAACAATATTCAAAGTATTAAATACATAGCTCCCTGGAAGTTTTCCCCATGTTTTGGCTAGAACTATTTTTATGAAGTATGAAAGTACTTACTTCGTATAATTTTCTTACTCCTATGTTCACAACCTTGAGCATAAAAATCACTTACTGCTAAATGTGAGCATGAATGTATATGCAAGCAGTTAACTAATAACATATGTTATAGTTCTTTAGAAGTCATTTAAAAGAGGACTACAAGAAAGAGGGAAATGTATTAATGATTCAAACAAAATTCACTTCGTATTTTATGCAGTTGTACTCCAACATTCACATATAAAACAAAAAATGATTAAATCATGCAGTCTCTGAACTGGATCCTATAGAAACTCTTGTTGAAAAAAAATGACTTTAATTTAAGTTCATACATTTTCTCCAAACAATAAAATGAGCTTCTTTGAAACATTTGTGAAAAATATTTTCTTCAGAACACAGAGCCAGCAATTCAACACATTGTTTCTTAATCTTCCATTTCTAGCAGTGATATCTTCTGAAACACTTGTATTGGCAAGCCTGTACTGCACATGTTTACCAGGCTTCATTTTTCCTTGCACGATGGATACCTAGCAGACTATCACAACAAGTCTGCTGGTACAAAAGCAAATAGTTTGCAGTTTTATGACCCATTTATAGTAGGTAGTGATAATGAGTCCATGAATGAAGAGGGGGTGCATAACTCTCACTTGTATAGAATCTAGGAGTATTTAATCACTAAACAAAACTCAGTCAAGCTAGTTTCTCTTTAAAAAGCTCCAGCTTTTTATGAAAAAATTAAAAAAACACAGCTTTCTGGAGCATCAAGGTACACTCCATTGTGTTGGATTTCCTTGATTTAGCTTATTTTTTTAAATGAGATGCAGATATTGGTAAAAGCAAAGAATCTATTCACAACAATAATATAACAAAATATGAAAATTAATCTAGAGATCAGAGTATATAATAAAGATGTTCTACATGTAAGCTGAAAATTTAATATGAAGGTTCAGCTTCCAGTGGTGGTTCTTGCTTGAAATCCATTCTGTACTGGTCTTCATCTGTGAGCCCAGATAAAATGATTACAGGTTGCTGAATCGTGCCTACATTGGTGCTTGGGCAGTTGGTAGCAATTGGGCTAACTGGCATGTGCCCATTGGTATGTAGGGGTTGGGGAGGCACGTGCTGTTGCACTTGTGGAGGACTGTTGCATTGTACTGATCCTTGAGGAGTAAGTGGGCTGCTGGGAGAACCTGCAGAACTTCCCCCTTGATAACTGCCGGCTGAGGTAGCATTTGTTGGGGTCTGGACAGTTCCATCTGTTGTGGCTCCTGCAACAATTGAAGATGCAATAAGATTTTTTGTCAACCAGCAGCAATTATGTCTTGGAAAAGCATGCCTTAAATACAGTAAAAATAATATTTTTTGTAGAAAACATTACATCAAAGAAAACATGCTGCAATATCTTAGGGCAAGTTGTAAGTTATTTCAGGAAAAAATAAAGGTTTTATGTAGGTAATGCTTAGAAATTTTCTTAGCAGATTTTAATAAACATGGAGAAAGGATTATTAACAGGAAATAAGCAATGTGCATTTTTTAAATTTTAAAATGTAGAAATACTGATCAAGTCTCTCAGTATTAAATTCAGTTTACAAAATATGGAATGTTGTGTACATGTAAAAATCTTATTTTTCATTATTAAAAAGAAATGGTAAAATTGCGTTGCTTCCTAAATTGTGACGTGAAATTAAATGTTTTGCTGTTAAGTATGAATATCATGGAATCGAAAATTGTCTTCAACACAGTGTCTTAAAATTAAATGCCTTTTATTCTGTTCTTCATTATCTGACAAGGGAAAAATGTTTGAAGTTTTTCTCTACATACATAATATAATTTGTGTTTTGTACTTTCGTGAAGCTACTCAATTCTTTGCTTGTCATCATAAAATAAACGTTCTGAAGTAAAGAATTGTTTTGTATACAAATAGAATCCTAAAGAAATACAAATATCTTTATTTAATATCTGAATATCCAATTTTTGGCTTTTTAGTTAGGATTAGAATAGTTTGTGAAAATTACTTGAAATCAGTTTGAATGAAATTGTTAGCAAATCTTTCGAGATTTCCGTACATTAGTTTGGATTTGTAATTTATTTACAAATTATGAATATTATGAAATACTCGGACACCATTTGCAAAAGAATGTTTCTGTTTTATGTTATAATACTTCATCAGTTTATTGTGTATGCATGGGGGGAAATTTTTAGTACAGTAATTTATAATATATTAAATAACACTAATACACTTAAAGAAAGCAATAGTTAATGCTAATCAAGAAAATTTCATACTGGAACAATAAAAATTATACACAGGATCAGGAAGCATCAAAAAGCAAATGACAAGTGAAAGAAAGTAAAATTCGTAAGATATAATCTTGATGTTTCTCCTATATTCTGTGTGGCATAATATAATTCACAGTGGCTGTGGTAATGTTTTTGAAGCTGTGCAATGAAGTACCTTTAATGCTTAACATGGCAGAAACTGGAGTGCCCTTTGTTCAAGTATTGATTACATGAACTTTTTAATAAACATTTTTCTTGTACGATGAAGAAAATCAAAATTGTTTCAGGTGTGCATTTCAAGAAAACAATTTGCAACGGTGTTTTATGTAGAAGTTGACCAAATTTTGAAATTAATCCTGAGTGTAATATGATGATTTTGTTGTTAGAACTAAAGATAGAGAAAGGAAATTAAGCTGTTAAAGAAAAAATGAGCTTTTTTCCAAACCCTTCTCCCATGTGTTACACCTTTACACTTTTAACCCCCTCGTCAACAGGAATGTTCCATCCAACGTCACCTCCTGCCTCACTTTGAGTGAAAAGAGTCGTTTTACAACTATGAGTATTTTTCAGTTTAATTCCCAATGCTGCATGCTCTTTTTGTGCACAAAAATTTTGAACAAACAAGTCATTATGCTGTAGTTTTAAATTTAGAAACATGGTTTATATTCACGAATCTTTATTATAAAGCTTTTAATTATTAATTAATTAGTATGTTCTGTACAACTGGAGACAGCCAGGCATTTCCCGGCTGTCTACAATTGTATGGAACTTACTAATTAATAATTAAAAAACAAACCGTCATTAGGCCATTTTTATAACTATGAAGCTTTTTGTTTTAATTTGATCCATAATTGCTTAATTAATATGAAATAATGACTGCTAGACATACTATAACATCTATTAATATTTACATTTAGTCAATTTGTTGAATTGTGAAACAAAAAAGAATGCAACAGTTCTTCAATTTATTACCTTAGTAAAGATTATCAACTATTAAACTGTAATTGGGCCGATAATTTAATAAATTATCAAAAAAGAGAACTAAATTTATGCTTGTATTTATGTTCAAGTTACTAATTCTAAATGTGTTTACAGAAGAGCAGTGATAGTTATTTCACAATGTTTGAAGTTTCTATAGGCAAATTGTAAGTGTTAATTTTCAACCTTTGTTTGCGATTTACTTTGAACGTTCCATATTAACAGACAACTAGCAATACAAAACTATTGTGAGAACTTTCCATCCCCCACCCCTCCCTTAAACATATTTTTGAATGGATCGTGAGTATGAATGAACATTAATTGTCTATGTCAAAGTAGATTGTGGAAGTGAAGTGGTTATGTGTTTAATAAACAAGATAACTTTCTGTAGCAATTCTTTGTTTTGTTGTAAACTAAGCTATGTTAGCAAGAGTGAGCAATGTATTATTATATAAAAGCAAAGATATTTATGGGTAATCTTGTGTGCATTCAAAATGTAGTAAGGGGGCTCTGGGTTTTATGCACTTGGAAATTTTTGTTGGAAATTTTTGTTGGAAATTAGTGTTAAACATAGTGGACATATTGAATACAGAATGAGAAACAATACACAAGCTACTAAATATATTGGAAGATCAAGCACATAGGTACTGTACTAACCCACACTAGGGTCTATGAAGACAGTACAAGGAGTATCCGATAAGCAGGTTGTTTGAACCAGAACATGGACAGCTTGAGATGGAGTAGAGACGTTCCACGAGTGGCTGTCTACAAACACATGCACGAAACATTAGAGCATTGCAAGAAAATAAGCTGACTTTAGGAGATGTTTGCACAGAAAAAGTGAGCAGGAACAGATATGGTTGAGGTAACAGGAATTCAACACTCTGAGCAGAAAACATGCCTCTTCGTGTGTTAGAATTAGAAATTTTTATATTAAAACAAAAAAAGAATACATACCACCCAGAAGCATTTCTTGAAGAAGGCTGTCGATGCGTGCCACTCCAAAAAGTTTAGCAAATTGAATTTGCTCAATCATTTGCCAAGTGATAGACTGCAATGCTGGGAGAGTTAATATTATTTCTCCAAAACGTCCTCTAGAATCATATTGGCGATCACTGATGTAATCTTCTAGATTGATCTGTATCTGATACCGTAAATTCTTTATACGGCTTGAATCACTAAGGCCTTTGGCATCTGAGAACAGAGTGATTTAGTTATTGTGTGTTCAAATTGGCTGTAAAATTAAGATCTTTTCAAAATCATACTAGCATGTTAAGGAAAGTGTTCTTACTAGGATCAAAGAATACAATTGCCTTCAGGCAAGCAAATTCTATGTCATCAATTTGCACTTCATGGAGAGGTTTGACTAGTTCATCCATAACTCTTCCTCCAACACGACTTATGTCCAAATCAGGAGATATTCCAGCTTCTGAAAAAAAACAAAGTCATTGATGAATATTCTTGTATTGTCAAGTGCAGTAGAAGATCAGATGTTTCATCAATGAATAATTGGTTAATTCTTCTCTTGTGGTTTTGAACTTTGTACAAGACTAGTTATGAAGTGTTAACTATGGCAAAAATATTAGGATATTAATGCTTAAGAACATGTCACATAATAATTTTCATTCATATGAGAAACATGTTTGTAATTGCCTAATTCAACCATACATGGTTTCCCAATGTCAAACTTATTACTTCATAAAACTTACATATTTAAAACTTCATTACTTCTTTATTCAAATTAGAAAATTTATTCCAGAGTGAAATATTTTATGTTTAAAAATTGTGAACAATTTGAATGTTCATTTTAAAATATTATCAATGTAACTTACCCGGGTTGCCACGTGTGATAATGCAGTTGTTACCCAATAAAAGAACATCTTTTAGGTGCATTGACCGACGTGCCAAACCCAGCAGCAAATGCTCACCAGCATGAGCTCTTAGCAATGCCACCTTTATAAAAGAGAATTTATTTTTACATTGACAGAATACTGACAAAAAAATATTTATCGGTCATTTGTATGTTACATGGACTTTTTCGGACAAAATTTCTTTAAACACAACTCAATTTTGTGGAAGAAGTGATTCAATTAAATACACATTTTTAAATGTTGAAATATGTTAATATTCATTGAATTCAGCCAAGAGGCTGAATATTCAAGAAGGAATACACGACTTTCAGAAGGAAATTTGGTTATTTTGACATATAATTTGCTATAATTAGCTAATTAGGAAATTAAATGAATTATTTTTAATAACTATAGTACATGAATAAACATCAATATTTTATTTATAAATAATTTTTTTTTGAAAAAAAGCTTTATTATTTGTAAAGAAAATAGCAAAGAACTAAAGCTTGAAAAATTGCACTTGCCTGATCATCCAATGGCAACTCTGTAAACGCTGGAATATATTTAGCCCATTCAACTAAGATGAGTAGTTGTTGCTTCATTGAATCACAAACATCATTTATATTGGCAATTTGTTTGTTAGTTAAATTATACTCCAATTCACCTGTGGAAGACTGCAAAAGACAGACAATGTTTTGGTACAACATATTGACAATATCAATGTACATACATATTTTAGAATAAATAAATGTCAGTATACATGTGAAATTCACCAAGACCAAATGCTATGTTTCAAAATAAATCAAGTTGAAGTTGATTCTGTTTATTTTATTTTATCTACTCAATATATTTTGCTAGGTAGGAGATCAAACTGATTCTTCCCCCATACTTTTAATATCTAATATTGTTTGTAGGAAAAAATATATCTAAGAATGTTTCTTTCCTGTACGTTTTCACTCTGAGACTGCAGTGATTGCACTAAGCAATATAAATAGCTCAAAAACTTCAAAAAGACTTTTCTCGAGTTTCATTAGTGTACCAACTAGATAAACTCTGGTAATCTACGTACAAATGGTAATTAAAATATTAACGGCAGAATCCTAGAAACAAACTGATTTGTCACACTATATTGTTTGATAGTATGTGACATACTTTCACGTTTTGTTAGAATTTGGACATTTTGTTATAATGCGAGTCAAATATTTTTGTTTATATTTAACCATGTTGAGTTCAGTTGTAATTGACATATTTTAGATTTTGAGCTTGTGTAATTTGAAGTATTTTCAGGATTGTATTGGATGCATACTTTCAGAAGTTAGATTTTTTGCTACAATTGCAAAACTAGTTAATGTAATTAAAATATCATTCTTATAAATAAAATGAAATTACTTATACATAAGCACTTCAGGAATGCTTACATTTGGACTTACTTCTAGGGCTGCCACAACCTGCCTTGACAGCATTTCTGCATTCAACAAAGAAGCTACAGAGAGACCATTTGATGAAGTCTGTTCTTCAAAGCTGGGTCTGCGGCAGCTAATGCGATCTCGTTCATTCTGGACAGCTGAGGGAGAAATTCACTAATTCTTAGAATTTGAACATGAATGAAATTTATATTGTTTCGATCGAACTAATTATTGGGAATGTATATTGACATGACTGATAGCAACAATTGATATTACTCATCAAAATATAATGGACAGGAAAACTTATTGAATGCAGAATCTAAGGGACCTGTATTTTTTTTTTGCATTGGATACAATTCAGCATTTTACAATATAATATTGTAGAATTAACATTTATTGGTATGGTAACTGAAGATAACATATGATGATGATGATGATGATGGATGATGATTGTCAAAGGAGAACATTAATGCATGCCTGAAGCATGACTCGAACCCGCGACCCTTCAGTCCGAGATCGCTGCGGCACTACTGCCTTAATGATCTCGGCCATCCAGACCAGCAGAATACACTTTGACCTTACAATTCTTCTGAAACTTCTGCATATCCTGGAGTATTTTGTCCAGAAATTATTAAATGCCTGTGCCATTAAAGTCCCTAACTTGCATCTAACCTCAAGGTAGTTTCATGTACACATCTTTGAAATCATTTACTGAATAGCCATTTGTAGAGATGCGTTACAAATTTTATTATTTTTCTCAAAGTAAATTTAAATTGTAATTAGAGCAAAACTTCTGTTTTTCATAGTTTCACATAGAAGGTATAACACCTTTTATATCCCTGATAAACCATAAATGAATTGCAAACTAAAGTTTTTGGATGAAATTTAACCCTATTTAATAAAATAAAGTACCTCGCTCTATTAAGTTCACTTTATTTTATTAAATTACTTGTGATTTTCTCTGTACAGTTTAATTTGTACTTTCTCCTATTAAGCATATGTTAGCGTTGATATAAATTATTAGGTCCAAGTTCTCTTCACGGAGGAGAAAAAAAAAAGATTTTAAGGCAATTCCTGTCCAGACATTTATCCTATTAAAAGAAATTTTGGAAAGAAGCAGTGAAAAAGTTTGTTTAACATTCCAATACAGCCAATCAAGTCTAAGAAATGTATTGCATTTATTGTAATTTCATATTTTGAATGTGTGTGATAGAAAATAGAGTAATTTAGAGGATTTTAATTTAATTTTTCATATCAGCCCAAATATACATAAAGCATTTTGAATTTATTTCTGTTTTGTGAACTTTTATCACTGAATTACTTACTTAATTCCCCTTCCCCACTTCTTTCGAAGCTAACATTGATTAGTTCCAGTGCCTATCTAGGGGGACAGGGAATCAAGAACATCTTGTAAAATCGGATTTGAAGTATGTTCCTACTCAACATCACTCAAGTCTAGCATGCACAAAAGTTCAGTTTGTGATAATTTAAAAACTCTTTTGGGCTGAGAAAGTTGGGGGGGGTCACAATGTTGCCAACGGTTCCAAGAAATCTATGGGTAACCCTGCCTGAGATTTAATCTCTTAACTTAAGACATACAGCGGGACGATTATTTACATTACTAAAATTAATGGATCGTCAAATACCCTATTTGTTATTTGCAATGGTAGGCAGTATTTCAGTACACTTTTAATCTGTCATAGCGGTAAGAGCTCTAATGACAAGAGTTTCTGCACAAATTGTCGTTAATATATGTTTTAATGTAGCTCAGATAACTCCTTTTTTATGATATACTGTACTCATTAAAACACTAGTCAGATCAAGTAACAGTGGACATGAAGTAGGGGCGTGTGGATGTTTTTCAATAGTACGAGTTCACATCAATTGCGTAACATAGGAAATCTCTGTTCCTTATCTTATCAAGGCACAGACTGCAATTTGCTAAATGTGTTGTAGGCTCCTACAAGTAACCATGTGCAGCAGCTAGGCAATTATGACTAGAAATATAAAATTCGTTTACCTTCTTTTTTCATTCCTGCTTTGAAACATTTTCGTAAACGGCAATAGCGGCATTGGTTGCGTTTGTCCTTGTCCACTACACAGTTGCGGCTAAACCTGCAACAGAAGTATTTGGAGTCACATTTCGCTTCAAAGAACAGCTTAAATTGAACAGCAGAAATTGAGTTGCTAAGCAATATTCTCCACGTGTTCGGCACGTGCAATCTCCACGTGTTTGGCATCTCTGGCACGTGTTTTTTGTGGAGGGGGATTCAGTTAAGTTCGAACCTCACCTGAATTTTAGTTAACGCAGTATTTTTAGTGGTTTATTGAATTTAATGAGGTGCGCGTCAAGTTGGGATATATTCTACTGTATGGAGGACGCCCCCCCCCCGGCCAACGACAATTGTACTCATCTCTACAGCCACGAACTGCCTTATCAATTGCATTAACTAAAATAAAAAACAGTATTGGTCACTGGTGAATTACGGCAAAATTCAAGTCTATACATTGTGGCCTGCAGCGCTACTCATCGGCAGTACGGAGAGATCAAGTCATGGCAGAGGCGAATATTTGACAGTAGGTAGCGAGGTCGAATCAGCCGCTCTCTGGAGGAGAATTCTTGGAACCGGCTGCTCTGATCGGTGGTTTTCGGTAGTTTCTCCGATGAATACCAAGCGAATTCTGAAGCAGTACCCTAACAACCTGGCCAGGTACCGAGAGCGATCTTCTTTTCCTCATCCTTATCCCTTCCTCTCCTCTTATATGCACACTCTTATACAGCTTTTGCATGGATTACAGAAGTGTCAATTATGCTCACAATAGAACTTTTTTAGTAACACTTGCAGCAAACAAAACTGTAATTTACGAAATCGGATGAAACGATCGTAGTTTAGTTAAAACAAACATTACACTACTACACATGCGAACACTACGCCAACTCTCGGGATGTTACTGGCACTACACTTATGGGATTAATGACAGCAGTTGAAGCACACGAAAAAACAAAATAATGACTCTTCCACAACGTGGTTATAATTTTCACAAAACTGCATTTTATGTAGATTTAAAAGACCGAAAGAATAATATTTATTTGTCCAAAAAGTTTGTGTGGTACAATAGGGGAAAATTGCAACCTTCGCTGGTTTTCTTGAGTTCTGGAATACCTAGCACTTATATTAAATAGAATTAACAATACCGGAAGCAAGGAGCGCACACATAAAACACTCGAAACTCTCAAGCGAACACATAAAACATTACTCGAGTGTGTGACAAGCGGTATTCCCCTCACAGACAATGTACTCGACAGTTTCCCCGGCGTAGTGTCCGGGGTGACGCGACAATCCCTTTCAATTTCGCGGTCGGAAACTACAATTTTCCCCTTTCTCAAAAACAATTTATTTCTCGAAGAAAAAACAACTAACAAACTATATCTACCATAATAAAATTAAACATTGAATTTGATGCAGTCACTCGGGAGGGGATATTTTCCCCACACATCCACTTCCACTATGGCATATAAGCTACAACCGGTTTTGAGAACGAACATAATTCCATGAACCCGCGTAAAAGAATAATCAGTATTTTTAGAGATTATATATATTGGAGGGCTTCGCTACTCCTACATGTCGAAGGCTAGATAGTGGATACATGTGGGAGAGTAGGGGTATTGGGGATTGGGTGAGGGTATGTTTAAAGTGCTGTTTTGCATGGCAGAGTCCGCTATTAACAAGCCAAGGACCTAAGGTTCTTTAATCCGATTTTGTACATTAAAAAATGTTTGCAGCAAGTAAAACCGTAAACATTTTCTATTTTCGTGACCACAATTGCATCTTCTGTAATCAACGCAAAAGCTGTTTTAGAGAAGGATTTACATCCCCTTGCTTGTCCATTGGTCGTACACGGCATGCTATTCTCGTAGTTGGGCTTCGTTCAAGAAATATTCTCAAGAGACAAACATGCATACCAGTGTTCGTACACACGCGCACACATGCACACACGTACACGCACGCCGCGCTCTCCTAATTCGCAACCCATCGGCCACCATTGGCAGGAGGGTGTAATTGAATTGCTGCTCGTTGCTCCTGTCCCTGCTACTTCAGCGCCGCGGTTTCTCGCTGGTGCGCTGATCGTTGCTCCAGCAGCAGTATTAATAGTTGTTGCTGTTGCTTCTGTTGTTGCACCCACCGTAAGGGAGATGACTGCTCTCCAAGGATGTCCATACTAACGTCGGTAGTCACCCATTTGTTGGTACAGGGTGGTAATGAAACAAAACTTCTCCGTACAAATGCTGTTTACCAACTGCCTATCACGGAGGGAGGGGGTCAAACTGTACATCGTACCCTACCTCTAAACGAGCACCGCTCCTTCATTTCTCTGCCTAGGCGAGCGGCAGATGTCTGAGTAGGTGCCACGCCCCCCTGTCGTACTCCCGCAACTGACACGATGTATAACTTAGCTGGATCGAGAGTATCGTGGTTACGAGGGAAACATGAAAAGTTTACTGACGCTATATGTTTTTTTATGTAGGAAATTGAGGGAGGGAAGTTTGAAAAGTAAGATGAAAGTCAAGATATCACAAACAGAGTCAACTTAAATTTGGTTAATTAGTAAATAACCCAACGTGAATCATTAAAGTTATGTGAAAAAAATGAAATATTGTATTTAATAAAGGCGTTAACTGGTTATAACGTTCTTAGTGTGTAAATAACTATTTCGTCATCTCTTCAATATTAAATCATTAGGACTCCCATGACATCTAACTGTAAAGTATGAGAGATTTATCTTGGAGCAAGATGGTGTCGTTTGGGGTGGGCTCACAATCCTTTGGAATTACAACGTAAATCATTTGACCTGATTTGGTTACATTCATAAGCGGGACCGGAGAGAAGCCTTCGATCTAAAGATGCTTGCTCGTTCATTTATTTGAAGTTAAAAAGATCACAACTGTGTGAGGTACTCGTATGAGTTAAGTGCGATGTGTGCAAGTTTTCTTGAACTCTGGAATCCCTACCCTCGCTTTTATATTATACTAAGTTGAATTATGATTAAAGATGGCAACGCGTGTTTTGGAAAACCTTTGTAACAGAAAATTTTCGTTCCTATCTAAAAACTATTTGCATCGGCAATTGAGCTACAGTTATTAACTCCCTACTATCGATTCACCACCATGGATAACGATTCTTTGATGCTACTATTCACGATATTGAGAAGTTACATTTATGTCCAGAAGCAAAGGTCCAGAATCCAACTCAGCGTGTATTTAATGTATCGATGTATTTATTTAGGTTTAGGTGCCCTTGAACTACTGTCATTTGGGTCCATGAGTAATTGATGAGCTAACGAGTAGACGATACCGAATGATGACTATGTCAGAGATGAATTGTTGAATTAAGAGGCAGGGAAACTGGATAATACCGAAAAAAGAACAAACAAAAAATTCCCTACAAGCCCCTCATCTTAATTAACAATGTTCTTCAGATCATAGAATTTTACAAAATTTCAACCAGTCATCCTTTTTTAAGAAGTTCTACATTTGCTGTTTATTTTCATCACTATTAAGATGTTTCACTATTTTAAAAGCAGTAGACTGGTGGCATTGCTCATCACTTTTAATGTTTATGATATATATTTCCCAAATTTCTTTACAAGCAGATTTTACTGATCGCTTTGTCTTTCTTAAAGCTCTAAATTCTTCTAATGCTTCAGGTGCATTGACAATTACTTTAAGTTTAATTCCTTCTTTCGTTGAAAGCACAGTTTAGGTATTTATTCCAAATCTTAAGATACTTTCTTGTTTTATATATTTTCTCTTTTCACGAGTTTCTGTTGCCTTTTAGGTTGTTTGTGTTGGTTTCTGCCATACTGTTTCAATAACGAAGCCCACTAGCTTTTTCTCTACATATAATCTTGTCCCTGTACGTATTTGACAAAGTTTTATGATGTTATTGACCTCTAGAAAGTTTATTTTCCGCACCGTTTCAATTGTCTCTTTTTTCCTCTACGTGTTTGCTCATTTTATTTTAAGTGCTATTTTACCTCGGCAAGATGTCACAATATAGATTCATTCCACTTATCACTCTTACATCCTGGAATAATTTTTCCCATCACACTACTGAATAATAACAAAGAACAGTAATTGTTTCCTTTGTGATGGCTCAGTACAAATAAAAAATTCGCACTTTAAAAGAAAGATTGCCCTCTACGAAAGAATACGAACGGTGGAGAGAAAAAATATTGTGTAGCAGTCATTGGTTGAAGTTTATAAAATTTTGCTTATTTCTTAACGTATTAAATTAGAACTAATGACAAAACTAGCAAAAACATTGGATAATAATGTACCTACGTTTAGATATTTACTTGCAAAATTCCCAAGGCTAATCATGGTTAAAATAAAAGGGGTGTATTCCTAGGAACCAAAATTATTTTCTGATAAGCTGTTTGATGATCTCCTGACACGCACAGGAAAAATGCATGGAAATTGTTCAGAAAACTTTCTTTTTTAAATTTAGGAAAATTTAGATAGTCAATTGCATTTCATAAATTAAGATGACACACATCCTTAGTAACTTTTTACTCCCATTTGTGAACTGTATTAGTCTGTTTCATTACCTTAGAATTGTTTACTTTAGGGTTCGAATACGATCCGTAATGTGCGAGAGTTCCGTTTTCTTCAATTTCTGTCCCGTTGTCCCGAAAAACATTGATGAGGCGCCGCAATGTTCCGTATTTCACTTCGACCCGTTTTTTCTGTATTGGACGCCACGACTAAAAAAATACGAAGTGTAATTGTCTTCTTCAGACTGCGCGAAAACCAAAATAGGGACTGTCTACATGTCCTATTCCCAGCACATTTGTAGTTCCAGGGTCGTGTTTATATTCTAGCCACTATAAATAGTTTCTGAAATATTTTTCCCTTTTTATATAACGAAAACTTGTAACATCGTAAAAAAGATACTGCATTTGAAAGCAGAAAAGGGAATGCTACAAAAATTGATATTTGTATCCATTTTTTCTATTCCCAATAGCTTTCGAGTTATTTGTTATCGAAAATAGAAAATTGTTCAAAATTATTTTACTACGTCACGATTTTTGATAAACTTTGCGTGCCAACAATGCGGTCTTTAGTTTAATAGCAATATCATCATAGTAGAAGTTGTATGGAATGTAATTTCCTCTAAACGAGTTATTTACTATATTTTCGTAATATATCGTCTGTTTCAATTTGTTTTTTTTGCTTGCAATGATCTCAAAAGAAAATTTTTGGACTATGACAACACTTTTTCCTTTATTTTGAACCCAAACGGAAAATTACTGGGTAGATTCCCAGCGCTCGACCTTCCTAAACTAGTGTTTTAATGAAAGTTCTTCTATAGCATACAGTACAAGAGTAACAGAGTACCCGTTCGTCAGTCACGGCTAGACCACTTCCGGTCTATCTATCAAGACAAATTAGATGTCACTCTACGCGCCTAGGTCTCCTGATGGGGAAATAATAATCTTTTTGAACGGATGAAGCAAAATTCTAAGTAACTTCGTGCTTTTTTGCGTTTTTAACATCTATAATCCGCTTCGGATGATTAAGGCACCTAGAGACGAGGTGATCAACAGCTTATTAAATTATTATGGACAAGACAAATTGATTGGTACAATTATTAGCCGGTTCCCTCCAAGACACTCAGGAAGAATTCTAGAAAATAAACTTTTGTTATAGTTTCAACGCATCTACGAGTACATTAGTGAAACGTTATGAATTACTATATTTTCTTTCCGATATTTTCGTTACGATTTGATTAATCAGTGTGTCGATAATTAAACGTAATTTCGTAATAAAAAACTAATAAAATAATTGATACTTTTCATGTAACGTTCTATGCCCTAAAATAGCTGAGCCGGCAATGTTTTAATTTATTTTTATTATGAATTTGCAAAACCTAAATAAAACCCAAATACCCACCAGAAATGCCAAGCCAAGCTAGTAAAACTCTCCTGATTTGAGACTTGTTATTAATAATAATTTAATAAATATTTATTTCCGGCGAGGCTCCCGCCATAAGAATTGCTCTTCCGCCTAACCACGTAAATATTTTTTACATAATTAACAATTGAGGAGTTTTAGCGCAAATGATGAAAACTGACGTTTAACGTTACTCAGCAATGTGATCCTTAGCCTTACCTGCACGTGTACTGATGGTTCTTGCGCACAGAGCGCCGGAAGAAGCCCTTGCAGCCGTCGCAGGACGCCGCGCCGTAGTGCTTGCCCGTGGCGCGGTCCCCGCAGATGGCGCAGTGCTGGCTGAGCGCTCCGCTGACCGCGGCGGCACCGCCCCCGACCGCGGCGCCTGGCTGCAGCGGCGCCTGCAGGCCCGGCTGCAGAGTGCTGTTCGCCATTTGCAGGTCTGGCTCTGCGCACACAATGGCTTATGGTTAGAAGTAGTATTCGGGAAGACTCATGGAGGGGGGGGGGAGGCGACGCGGCCAGGAAGCCACTCGTCATTGAGGGCTTTCTTACTTCCTTACAAACATTTTCAGACGGTACCCAAGAAATCATTGTAAAGTACATGCCTAACAGTGACTTTAATCGTATGGCTGTCCTTGCATATAGATAGTGCTTATTCTTAATGCAAAGTCGATTATATTAAGTGTAATTAACACAATATTAAGTAATATAGATGGAAACAATTATAAAACATACTTTAAATATTTACTAAATTATTTTCACGATAATTTTGATTCGTTTCGATAAAATTGTTAAGTAGCTTGAAAATCTTAACTATATTTCAGGACTCGAGAGTGCAAAATAGAACGTCAGTTTGAAGAAAGATTCTTAATATAGACGAGAGTTCTAGGAGGATGTGGTCGTGCTGCGCTAAAAAATGCGATATTCATATTCATTTGCTATCAGACTGTCTTATCACTGGAAAAGTTCAAGATAATTTATTTTGCTAACCATTTCTGTTCATTAAGTAAGACTTTTTTTTCAGTCAATGATAATAACATCAAATGGAAAATAACAGTTGCATTTTTTATGTTTGACGACAGACTTTTCGATTACTTATTTGATTAGTTCCATGGAAACTTCTGCACTGGAATATGAGTGTATAAATGTTGATTTTTTTATACACATTTATTTCACACCTTGACAATATCATAGTCTGGAGATGGAAAATACAGAGATAATCAAGAAAAAAGCTTTTTTTCTTTCTCCACAAAATAGTTTTTTGAAAACCCTTATTCAAATATCGAAATATCGAGATAAACCGAATGGAAAATTGGACACATTTTTTTTAAACGATATTTTCCAAGAGTACGTCAGAGATATGGAGGAAAATAATCGCTTAGAGTATTTATTCTGCAATTTAGTGTGTACAGAACGCGTTCCAAGAACCAATTAAGAAGTACCTCCATCACAAAAAGCACATTATTTCCACGCCTGTGAATGCCATTTGTACAACATACTGCGTCTAATGACGGATGATGGCACCTCCCAAACAGGAGTCATTCCTTTGACTCCCCATCGTTCTTTAGCGATAGAGATGACTTCGCGAAGGGAGTTTTGTAGTCTATAAACAACTGTTACAACACGCAGTCTGTTGCGTAACTGCGATTACTGAGAAACACTTTACCTCTCGCAGCTTTAATAGCAATATTAATTTCTTAAGAACTTGCTTTTTGTGTGTATAAGCGCGCTTCGTAGTTATCTGTGAAACTGCATTTTTTTTTGTATAAAAATAAGGTCCCCCTTGGAATCTTACGAGGAAATAATGAAACCGCTAATACTGGTGAACATGAGACCGCGTCTACTTTTGCCGACTGCCTCTTACGCCATAAAAACCGTGGAACGAGGAAAACCCTCGTCGAATCTGTACGCAGCCAAGCGCGGGGCACTAACTACGCAGATGAAAACGCAAGTCACAACGCATCAATTATATACTCGTGCGCAGCTCTAGACGAGCGCCATGTAACGCGTAGAGGCTACCTCCGCGGCGCGGCGGCATGTTTTTGTGGTACGCCGGGTACCAAGGGGCTAGTCGGCGCCCGTCACACACGTCAGCGGCGGCCTCGAGGCCCGTCATCACGATAGGCCCGCGGGCCAGGTGAGGCACCCTGGAGTCACGGCGGGGCTCGTCCAGGCCGCAGCACGTCTCCGCGCTCGCGCCCGCGGAGCGGAGCGGACACGTGCTCATCCACCACGTGCGCGATAAGGCCTCCGCGACGCACTCGTGCCCCGCCGCTCCGCGTGCCCCCTCCCCTCGCTCCGCTCCGCCCGTCCCCACACCCCGCCCCGTGTCCGGCGCCGTGCGCACGCGTCACCACCACCGCCGCCGCCGCCTAGGCGAGAGCGGGTCACGAAAAATACGAGCGTGATTTTTCTCGCGCGCTCAGCAGCGCGGTTGGCACGTAGCCCGTGCCGCGGCGCCCGCGCCGGCGCTGGGCCATGGAGGCGGCGGATGTGACCGGAGATGCGCTGGAGATGGTGATGCGGAGGGAGATAGAATGCCGGAGAGAGGTACGTGGGTAGAAGGGGTGCGACATCGATGACGATGTGATCAAACAGCGATGTTACCATAAGAAAACGACGTTTTAAGCTTCGATGTATTGAAGCCGATGTTTTTTGAACATCGATGTTTTGGGCTCCATTTTTTTACGTTTTCGTGGTTTTGTTCGTGGATGAAAAATACCACAATCACCATTTTGTAAAAGTTAAAATATGAAATAACTGATGGTATCACTGTGTGTTTATGTGTTCGAACTAAACGAACACTGTCTACAACCACCTTCATCCTTCGTCCGAGATGATCCTGATGCCCTGGTATTTCCTTTGTCTTTCCTCATATTTGGCACATAGAGTGGCGTTTAATTGTTTTCAGTTATAATTAAAATTTAAATTAATATAGACGACCACTGTTAAATTAAATTTTGTTGCGCACAAATGTAATTATAGACGTTACTAAACGAGCTTTAAAACATTGATGTGGCATGACAAGGTAGAACTGCAGCGGAGGACGGAGGGGGCGCTGGAGAGGCGAAACCAACGCGTGTACTCCGGCCCGATGGAGAAGGGCTCTTGTGGGGTGGACCAACACTCAGCGACGTGACCCGCGGTGGTCTAGCCTTCGATTGGTCGACTCAACTCGCGATTGCCGTCTCGCTCACCTATACCTACTTCGGATTCTTTAATGCGTTTAGCTTTGTGCGTGACCACCACTTTTAGCCATTCGCAGGTTACTTGCGGTTAGTTTAAAGAGGGATGTTTTCTTCCTTGCGGAGATAAAATTTACCTGCTTAATAGCCGATGCACTCGATTTTTGTTGAGGATATCAACTTTTTAAAAAATCATTAGAATCTTTTGAACGTAATTTCTTTGCAACCCAATTACAAACATTATCCAGTGATAATTTGTCTCCAAGACACTTATTCCAGATGTGATATCCAAAGATTCGGATCTCTAAAATTCTTAGACCATTTTATTCCACTGCAAGTATCACTCGATAACATGAGTGGTGCTCAGGAGATGTTGCCGAAGACAAATATTGCTGCACTGGTTGCAGTTGCAATTACCTAGAAGAAAGTTTCATTTGCACTCAGTAACTTCCGTCGCGGTAACAGCAGTTCCTGTTACAAAGAGCAAAGGGCGAATGATTTAATTTTCAACACTTCGGAATCTGCGTTTGCTGTGGGATGAACTAACCATACATAGGGTTGGGAAAAGTCTTAACGGCCATTGAAACCCTAAGGGCACGAAGAACGGATGTAAAGAATTATGCTGCTAGCGGAAACCAAGATGTTCACGTGATATTTCTCTCGGAATCTTTGACATTTTTATCAATTTAGAAGAATATGTTCTTGAAACGTAACAGCTGGATTTCTCTGAAGTTGTGAAGCCTTGGGGAATATCTATCACGGCTTTTCCATACCACTTCGACAATGTACATTGCATCGTTCAACTTTCATTCAGAGAGAATTGAGCTAGTGACAATGTGCATTATTTACACAAATCTACATGGATATTTCATTCGGGTATTTTTCGTGTAGGTAACAGCGAAAGCTGCAGATGTTTTAACTTCGAGTTAGTCTCGACTGCTTTCAGGTAAACTTTGAAGTTTCTTCCGTTTTCCTTTCTAGCCTGTTCATATTACGAAAGGAGCATAGAACCACTACTTCAGAAAACACACCTACGCTTCCTGCAGTACTTTTCCCCTCACGCATCTTTAAATTGTTGTCCTGAACCTCATTCAAATATGTGCAAGTTCTTGATTTGCATTGCTTCATCAATAGTCAGAAGGATTTTTGTAGTAATGGCAGAGTTTATCAAGCTTACTCGACCCTCAATGTTTCGCTGAGTACTGGTTAAATGATTAAAATTTGATTAGCCTTTAGCAATTATCTTGAGGATACTTCGTAATAACTGTGGTAATGAGGCAACAGTTAATAGTAGGAAAAATGAATTAATCAAAAGATACAACAACGAAATGGGAAGAACATATTTAAAAAACATACCATTAAGTCATTTGTATGAATATATTTTCATTGATATAATTTTAGAATTGAAAGTGTGAAAATTCGTTATTGCAAAACATCTGAGTCCTTTTACTCATTGTACTACTGTTGCAGTTAAAGTACATTATTTATTCAGATACCTCCATGCCCATATTTCTTTATTTTGACATGTTTGATTCATAATATCGTGAGAAAAGGTATATTAATGAAAAGGGAAAGATACAATTCAATTAATGTCTGTAATCTCACAATATGAATGTAAGTAGACAGCCCGTGTTAAAAGAAAACAGATATAAAATGTTAAAAGGTGAAATAAAAGTTAAAATTTAATCCACAAAATTTCGACTCTACATTATTTCACTTAACATTTGAAATGGGAGTATAAATAATTAATGTTACGGTTCTCTCTCTCTCTTAAGCCTGACACGAAAAGAAAGAAATCCAAATGAAAACCCCGAGCGACAGTTCCAAAGCAACCGAGATGGAAGTGGCTCGCGTACGTACGCATGCCGTTACTGTGTGCTCAGGACTGCATTGTTTTCGTGGCTGCCGTTGTTTGTGTTTGGGAGAGTGTTGAGGTTGTCGATGAACGAGTAGACTGACGACCTTCTTGTGACCAGGAAAGAAGGTTTTCATCTTTTCCAAATATCGATCTCTTTCTTTCAATATTTCGTATTAATTTTATTTATACCTATTGTTATTCTTTGAAAAAATATATATTTTTTAAAATTCAATGAAATTCCAACATTGTACATTATATATAATTTCATGGATTTCATTTATATATATATATATATATATATATATATATATATATTTCCATGAAATTCCACCATAATAAAAATTAATTTTAAGTCATTGTTCATTTCCGATGCAAATAGATCTCTCCAACTCACGCATAAATTTTATTCTTTAGAATCAGATTCATGTGTGGTTGCTTAATGTATATTAGTGTTCGATAACGTGATGGTAATTCAAGTATATGTACGTAGTTCTTCTCCCTCCGAAAATCGCATTCACTTTTTTGTTGTTTTTGGTTTTGAAGATAAATAAATGAAAAATACAAATAGTTTTAGTTTTTCACCTTTCGGCGCATTCTCAAAGAAAAGCTGACAAATAGAAATACCGGTTTGTTTTGTTCAATATTTTCCACATATTGGTCTCGGCCTTGCGATTAAATACCGATTTATCCGAAACAGTGGCGCAACCAATTTTTTCTTGGAGTGGCAGGTTCTAGGTGTAATATCCAACCGACGAAAAATTGGCACTTATACTGAATTTAATATTATATCCATTTGTTTATTTACAGATATTTATAATATATTTAATGGAGGTAATTAGTGATTTTCGTTACTATAGAAAATTAGAAATTTGTATTCGTGAATGTGTGTCTTCGGCTTCTGGGGAGGTGGGAGGAGGCCTGATGAGGTCGTATACCCCGAGATTCGAAAGATGGTAGCCAGCCTACTCGCGGTGCCACGCGCGACCTGGGCCCCACGGCACGCCCTCGACTCCACTCGACGCGCCCCTGCCTGGTTCGCTGGCCTCGCGGCGCGGCGCGGGGCGTCGCAGCGCGGAGGGAGAAAGTGCGTGGCAGCGCGGCCGAGTGTCGATGGCTTCACAATCGATGCCGTTACTTTCCTCGGGAAGTGCTGTGGGACTCTCGTCAGTGGAAGACCTAGCGGTCGCCTTGCTTCGAGCGTTGTCTTCTTCATCGAACCCTTTTTTTTGTTGTTGTAGGAAAGCACCTCCCACCGTCTCGAAAGTTGGGTTCGTATTCTACCACTCGTTTTTGATTTTGACCACTCGATTGTGATAATGGAATGTAGATGTGAAACAAAAAATTACAAAACTAGTGTATTTAGCAGAAAATGCCTATCGGCTGAGCGCAACACACAAGATGCCGAATAATACCCTTTTTTCATCGATTTGCGCTACTGCCTAACTCCCGCTTACTTACAGAATAGCCGGAGTATTTTTTGCTAAACAGCTTAATATTCTGTAATATGAAAAGTTACCTAAAATTAAAGGAGCATGGAATAACAATGTGCAATTAGTATGCCAGATAATG